TCATTCCTTGGTTTCCTGCTCTACAGCACAGATTAGAACAGTACTTCGTCATTCCTCGGTTTCCTCCTCTACAGCACAGATTAGAACAGTACTTCATATTTCCTCGGTTTCCTGCTCTACAGCACAGATTAGAACAGTACTTCATATTTCCTCGGTTTCCTCCTCCATAGCACAGATTAGAACAGTACTTCATATTTCCTCGGTTTCCTGCTCCATAGCACAGATTAGAACAGTACTTCATCATTCCTCAGTTTCCTCCTCTACAGCACAGATTAGAACAGTACTTCATCATTCCTCAGTTTCCTGCTCCATAGCACAGATTAGAACAGTACTTAATCATTCCTCGGTTTCCTGCTCTACAGCATAGATTAGAACAGTACTTCGTCAGTCCTCGGTTTCCTGCTCCATAGCACAGATTAGAACAGTACTTCGTCATTCCTCGGTTTCCTCCTCCATAGCACAGATTAGAACAGTACTTCATCATTCCTCGGTTTCCTGCTCTACAGCATAGATTAGAACAGTACTTCGTCATTCCTCGGTTTCCTCCTCCATAGCATAGATTAGAACAGTACTTCGTCAGTCCTCGGTTTCCTCCTCCATAGCACAGATTAGAACAGTACTTCGTCAGTCCTCCGTTTCCTGCTCTATAGCACAGATTAGAACAGTACTTCATATTTCCTCGGTTTCCTCCTCCATAGCACAGATTAGAACAGTACTTCATCAACTGCGTTGACCTGAAGAGTAAGTGAATGACACGGGCACGGCACAGGATTCATCCCTGAGGATGCTTTGCTGAGCTCTGGCGGCACCCTTCCCTTGCTGAGGAGGTGAATCTCGATGCATGTTTCCTTCCCCAAGGAGCAAACATTTTCCACTAATGTCTGTCTTCCAAGGGGCAGGCCTCACCTCAGCTCGCGGAAGGCAGGCCGAGTCCTCCCCTCCACTCTCCCGCAGCAGGCAATTCACCAGGGCATGCCAGCTACAGTCTTCCAGAACCCACTCACCTCCCACCTGCTTCTCTGCCATCCTCCTAATCCAGACCACCGTCATGTCTAAGGTGGAGGTTTTCTACCTACCCTCCTCCACAATCCTCTCTGTTCCCCTAAACCCGCTGTCCACACAGCAGCTGGAAATGCAGTTTATAAAGCATGTGTCCAGTCACATCATTCACCTGCAGTGGGTTCATTCCCCTTGCACTCTGAGCAAGACCCCAGCTCCTCAGCCTGGCTGAGCCCCTCTCCCGTCTGAATGCACATCACTCTCTCCTGGCCCACCTTCACTCTGCCACAGTCACCTTGCATGTTCCCCTTCCTTGAATTTGCCAGTTGCATTCCCACCGCAGGTCCTTTGTGGAATGGCACCAGCCTTTCCCCCTGCCTGGAACATGAATGCCCTGATCACCACATATGAGCTCGCTGCCTCAAAGGAAAGTCCTTCATCACTGCCCCATCAAAGAAGTCCTTCATCACTGCCTCAAAGGAAAGTCCTTCATCACTGCCCCATCAAAGAAGTCCTTCATCGCTGCCTCAAAGGAAAGTCCTTCATCGCTGCCTCAAAGGAAAGTCCTTCATCACTGCCTCAAAGGAAAGTCCTTCATCACTGCCTCAAAGGAAAGTCCTTCATCACTGCCTCAAAGGAAAGTCCTTCATCACTGCCTCATCAAAGAAGTCCTTCATCGCTGCCTCAAAGGAAAGTCCTTCATCGCTGCCCCATCCAAGAAGACGGATTTTATTTTCTTCACAGCATCAGTCAATATCAGGAACTCCGTTGCTCTTTTGTTCACTTGCTTATTTCCTCTCTCCCATACCTGAGTGTAAGCACTGGGAATGCAGAAACCTGGTGTGTTTATTCTCTTCTTTATCCCCACAACTTAGAACAGAACCTAATGCATAGTAGGTGCTTAATGAACCTTTGTTGAATGAATGAATGAACAAAAACCTACTCTTCCCAACTGAACTGTCACCAAATGAGCAATAAGTGAACTTGCTGATGAGCATCTCCTGCAGCTGGGAATTGCCATGACCATCACCCTCCTGCCCACCATGTACCCACCTACCAGTCCAAGGCCGGCTCTCGGTGCCTTTCCAAGGGGAGGGGAGGAGCAGCCGCCGCAGCAGCTCTGACGTGTTACGGGGACGCTGCTCCGCCTACACTTGGTTCCCTGGATTTTTCTGGTGCCGCTTCATTCATTGTCCACATGTCTGCACCCAAGAGTTCTTCTCCATGTTCTGCTCTTCTAGAACCCTTTCTATGACATCAGTGGCTATGTACCAGGACAGTCTGAAAAGGGGTGGGTCCCTCACTGTCACATTTGTATTTGTTTTCTGTTGCTGCTGAAATACGTTACCACAAATTTAGTGGCTTAAACAACACAGTTTATTCTCTTGAAGTTCTGAAGTCGGAAATGGGTCTCACAGGGCTAAAATTCAGGTGTCAGCAAGGCCGTGCTCCCTTCCGAAGGCTGTAGACGATGAGCTCTTCCCTTGCTCACTCAGGCTGTTGGCAGAATAGTTTCCGCAGTTCCAGGGCCAAGTTCCCTGTTGCCTTGCTGGCTGTCAGCTCAGAGCCATTCCCAGCTGTCTGCATTTCTTAGCTCTGTCTCCTTGAGCTAAGGAGGGGAATGATAGATTCCTCCATCTTCCGAGCCAGCAAGGGTGAGCCAAACTCTCTCACACTTTGAATCTCTCTTGCCTCTTC